TGGCTGGCATGTGGTGCTGGGGGATTGAACCGCGGTCCCTGTGCTTTGCTAAGCTTGTTCTAAGTAGGTGCTTTAGACCACTGAGCCATCTCACTTAAGCTTGTTCTAAGTAGGTGTTTTAGACCACTGAGCCATCTCACCAGCCCGTTCCAATAGCTTTTGTGGTTAGGATATAAGATGCTATTCTCTTCTATGTAAAGATTTTTTTTTTAAATACGCCATACTTCTTGCGGGACCAGGGATTGAACTCAGGACCTTGTGCTTACAAGGGAAGCATTTATTCCACTGAGCTATCTCCCTGGCCCTACACCATACTTCTTAAATTCCTAACTTAAAAATCTTCCACAGAGTTACATAATGATTTATCTACCCCATTGATTTTGGTCCTGTTGTTGAGGCTGCATATTGTGGCTGGAGTATGTGGAAGAACAAAATTGCTTACTTTGTGACTGGGAAGCAAAAAGACAGGGTTATAAGGTCCCACTGTTCCCTCCAAGATCCCCAAAAGTCTAAACTGCTTCTAAATGGACCCACCCTGAGCATCAAGCCCTTAACACATCGAGTAGGGGGGCCACTCAAGAGACAAAAGTGTAAGCACAAGTTCCTGAGTTCAACCCCCGGTACTGAAAAAAAAAAAAATACTCCCTTTTTTGGGGCCGAGGAGATAGCTCAGTAGAATAAGCACTTGTCTGGTCAAAAGTGTGGGACCAGGGAGATAGCTCAGCAGCACAAGTGCCTGCCTGTCAAGTGCAAGGTCGTGAGTTCAATTCCCAGTATGAAAAAACAAAAAAAAGGAGACAAACTGTAGCACATGGGATATGTGTCAGATACTTTGTTGGATGTTGGTGTTAATGGTAAAGACCACTAATTTTGCTAAACAAAACTTAATGTAGAGTCTTCTTTGTTCTATTTAAAAACTGTATGATGGGCCAGCCAGATAGCTCAGCAGACTAAAGTGCCTGCTGAGGCAGAGTGTAGCAGCCAGGGTTCAGTCCCCAGTGTGACAGTGCCAACCCCGCCCCTGGAGTGTGCTAGGACTGGGTGCGGTCGTGCATGTCTGTAATCCCAGCACTTGGGAGGCTGAAAACAGGAGGATCACTATGAGTCCGATCTGTGTAGTGAGACCCTGTACTGAATACACTAATAAATAATAAAAAAATAAAAACTATATGATTATATATTAATTTAGAATGAGGAGCTATGGTTTGTATTAGCTGTGTAATGAAATTTAAAAAAAAGCATGTAGTATTTTTTTAAACTTTTTAAATAATTTTATTGAGAAATAGCAGTGAGACAGTTTCTAAACCCATTAGGACAGTTTCAATAATTAACACATTGCACATTGTTGTCTTAGTGGTTATTAACAGTACAAGATGCAGACATGATATCCTGTCCACAAACACTATTACTACAAATCTTTTTATTCATTGAATTAAGAGAAAGCTGTATATCTATCCTATTTTGGATATACATTTACAAAATGGTCATTCATTTTTTTTTTCCATAATTTTATTGAGAAACAGCAATGAGACAGTTTCAAATCAAATTGGTAGGATAGGTTCAATAATTAACACATTGCATACTCTCTTCTTAGTGGTTATTTGCTGTATAAGATGCAAACATTATATCCTATTTACAAAAACTATTAGAACAAATCCCTCTATTCATTAAGAGAATGTAACTATATATCTATCTTAAGCATTTTGAACATGTGGATACAAAATGGATATTCATCTGTATCCCCTATTTTGTTTAGTTCTGTCATTTGAATATTATAGGTGTGTGAAAAGCAAAATATTCCAAAAGAGTCCAGTAATCCATAATAGTATTGGGTCTTCCACTTCACTGGCAATGTCAGAAATTGTTGACCTGAGTCCCCTACAGCTCAACATAACAGCATGGCTTTACTTCTTATATTTCATTTTTATACTTTTCTGCTGGATGGTTAAGACCAAGATAAGGCAAGACCTATGAAACAAGAGTTGTAGCTTTTGGATCTCATAAGGTCAGTCAAATCCCCTCAGGATTTATCCTGAGACCCTGTACCTCAGATGTAGATCCTTTGTCAGTGTCAGCCACGTGGATGAGTCACAGATATTGCTTGGCCAGTGTACTCTCTGTGAAAACCTGAGAGAATGTTTTCTCTCCGTGTGACTCTTGTTAGGCACACTCTACATCATTGATCACTTTCCTCTTTGGCCTCATAATCTCCTTGATCAGAAAATTTGGGACACAACTGAGTTACATGATGTTGCAGTACAAATTCTCATATGTCCTGAGTCTTAATTGACTTGGAAGGCTAGGGCCAAAATGTTGGCTTTCCTTGCATCCCTCTTTTTTCTCTAATATTTTGGTCTACAAACTTTGGTTGTTAACCCTCCAGAAGAGAAGCTTATTGTTATTACCATACAACCTAGGCTGTTAAGCTTAACCTCACTATCCTGCTACAAGGTTGTATATGGTTAGATTTCTGGACTTAGGTGTAAACATAAGAATTATATAATTCTTTATTCCTATTTTTTAAATATATTTTAATTTTTTAAATGTTTTTT